GAATAGGAAAAAAAATTAGTGTATTATTTGAAATGCTGTATTAAGTTTTTGCTTCATTTTGTTTTTTAAATGGCTTTGGCCAAGTCCCAGTAACTTCAAACTATTGTCCCACCCTTTTGCTGCTGCTTCTAAATGCTCGTGCCCTGGAAAGGAAAGAGTAGATATAATTCTGGAAGGCCGAGTTCAGTTTAGATGTTGAAAGAAGGGACCGAAAAATACAGCGCCAACCTAAGACAGGGAGTCAAGTGTGTGAATACATACATGTGGTACGCCCAGACAATGAAATATTATTCAGTGCCAAAAACAAATGGGCTATCAAGCCATGAAAAAACAGGGAGCGCCCTGGCCGGTTTGGCTCAGCGGTTAGAGCGTCGGCCTGCGGTACTGAGAGACCCGGGTTCGGTCCCCGCTAAGGGCATGTACCTCGGTTGCAGTTTGTCCCCGGCCCTGGTGGGTCGTGCGGGTGGCAGCCACTCGATGTGTTCCTTTCACATCGATGTTTCTCTCTCTCTCTCTCTCTCTCTCTGTTCCTCTCTCTCCCTCCCACTCTATCTGAACAAAAAATGGAAAAATGTCCTCGGGTGAGGATTAAAAAAAAAAAAGAAAAAACAGGGAGCAAGCTCAGATGCCTATTACCAAGTGAAAGAAACTGATCTGAAAAGGCAGTATGATTCCTCTGCCTTTTCAGATCAGACTGTATGATCTACGTATAGGACATTCTGAAAAAGGCAAAACTATGGAGACAATAAAAAGATTAGTGGTTGGTGGAGGTAGGGTATGGAAAAGACATGAGTAGGCAGAGTATAGAGGATTTTTAGGGCAGTAGAAATTTTCTGTGTGATATTATAATAATGACTATGTGTCATTATACATTTGCTCAAACCCACAGAATGTACAACACCGAGATGAGCCCTAAGGTAAACTATGGGCTTTGGGTGATTACGATGTGTTCAATGTAGATTCATCCTTGGTGAAAAATATGCCATTCTGGTGAGTCATATTGATAAATGGAGGCGTCTATGCACATGTGGGAGCTGGGGTGATGTGGGAAATCTCTGCACCCCTTCTCAATTTTAAACCCTAAAACCGCACCCCCCAAAAAATAATACACAAAAAAAGGGGGAATTTTACTATATAATGTTTGAGTATAAAAAATTATTTTAATGAAAAGGTCAGACTGAATGTGTTTAATTTTGAAATGGCTAATAGGCTACCATGGTTAATAATGGACCTGCTGTTCTGGACAGAGGTCACTGAAAAGCACACTGGGGCTAATCCTGTGAGTGGAACACATACATAGGTGCTCTCAGGCTCATGAATAGAAACAAACATTAACCATTTTTAAACACACACACGGAGTCATTTTTACACATTAAGAGTCCATTAGCTCCTGGGGCAAAGTCTCAAATCCCCACCTGTATCACAATACACAAAGAATACAAATCCATCTTAAGATGGGAAGAATCAGTCTCAATTATGCCCCCTGTGTTCTGATTCTCTTGTTTGACTCAAATCTCAGAGCTAAACTACGAACATACATTTACATACTATGCGGTCAGTAAGATCTGGCAGCCAAAACTCCAGGCTTGCTGGCTACTAAAGGCCAGAATGTTGCAGGACAATGATGGACATGACATTATTAAAACATGGAACAAGAAGCTTAATATTGGCTTCTCGGCCTCCTTGATAACCCATAGGCTACACTGGCACCAAAGAGAAAGCTGAAAGATGCTTTGATGCTACTGTGTCGTAGAAAATAAATAACAAAAATAGATATTAGATGATTTTTTTTGTACTACAGAGGAGATAGAGCAAGAAAATAACTAAAAAGTATTAAGAGTTTGGTGCTTGGGACTGTTTTTCTTACTCCCTGACCCAGTGGTTTTTGTTATGAATCACTCCTCGATATGTGGTCTCCTCCATGGAGACCTTGGGACTACTGTTCCCAGCACCTCTGACAGTGCCTGGAATGAAGTAGGAGCTCAATAAACTTTTATGGAACTCAATGGAACCATCAGAAACCTATAAAAAAGTCATTTGTTATGGGCAATACCTTATCATCATCACTACCACCCTGCCCCCCAAAAGTACCCCAAAGACCAGGTCCAAAGTCTAAGGGACTGCTGAGTGTACACAGAGAAATGAAACGAACTTACAAAAACCAAAAATGAAGCAAGTTTTCACAAGATTTTGGGAACTCTGACCCTACATAACAAACCTCACGCAGTCCTAATAAAGAAGGACTGAGCGTCACATAAATCAATGCTCTTCCCACAATTAAAACGAGGGTGGTCCCTCTCTCAACTTAGCACAATAAACCAAGCCCTTACCTACACTTTTTCTTCTGCCCTTTCAGCTTTGCCATTTTGAAAAATATTTAAAATCACAATTGTAACGTTTGCATTAAAATGAATGATTGGAAAAGAAGACAATCATTTCTAAGTCTACCACCTACATTTAACAACATTAACATGTATGCAACTTCATTTTCCTGTGTTTACATTTTCCCATGCTTACATTTGCTTTTTCTAATGAGAAATACAAAATGCAGTGCAGTGACCTTCTTTCCCCTTAGCAATACATCATGGTCCTCTTTCCACCTTATTAAATACTGCTCTTAACCAATCCTAACATGACATCCATTTCATTTTATCTTTCTTGTAGACATCATGTATCTAAATCCTTCCTCATGCCTGGCTGGTGTGGCTCAGTGAACTGAGCATCATTCATGGACTGAGAGTTCCCAGTTCAATTCCTGATCAGGGCGCGTGCCCAGGCTGCAGGTTCGATCCCCAGTAGGGGGGCAGCCAATTGACGTTTCTAGCTCTCTCCCTTCCTCTCTCTCTAAAAAAAAAATTTTTTTAAATCAATAAAAACATATTTAAAAATAAATAAATAAAGCAAGTCTTCAGCTTGCCCTGCCAGTCCTTTCATTAAGGCCAATGCTCCATGGAAGCCCAGTAATATCAGCCTCTGGACTCCCTCCATTCAAGCGCAGCCATTCTGTTTAATTGGATGTTCAACATCTCCCTTTCCTTTCCAAAATCCAGCTACTTAAAGCCCAGTTTCAGTTGTGAGCTAAACATATATGCATAACCCATGGACACAGACAACAGAGCAGTGAAGGCCTGGGGGCGGGGGGGTAGTGGGGTGGAGGGGCTCAACGGAGGTGGGGGAGGTCATGTGTAATACTGTCAACAATAAAGATAAATTTAAAAAAACAAAAGGACTAAGAAAAAGCCAGTAAAAAGTAAGAGACAAAGAGACAGAAGAACAAGCCTCAACACAATGAGAGATGTATAAATAGAAATACATTAGATATGCCAAAAGACTGAGATTGTTCCTCAGGAAGTCACAAGACACTGGTGTGTGTCTTTGAACATTTAATACATCTATTAGGAAATATTTTTTTTCTTAAATCCTTCATTTTAAATAAGTTACAAATATGTCAAGAACTTTAAAGATCACCTTCAGAGTCAATTAGCGCCTCTACATTTCTATCTAGTCACTTAGATAAAAGACCCACCGATGACTATGTACTTTAATAGAGAAGAAACACTACACTGTTGGTATGCAAAGATAAAAGCATTTGGAGTTCATTCTTAAATATATATAAAATTCAGTCCCTTGCTATACCAAATTTGGTGCAGAAAAATAATGAATTAGAGTTAATTCACTAGCTCTTTTGGATAATGTGTTTGGACCACTACAAAATAACACAGGCAAAAGAGTCTTTTACATTTTAAATGGATTTGTATCAATTCTCAGTGGCAGCATCTTTTAATTTTTTTTTTTTTTTTTTTACTTTGGGAATATGTTCCAAAACTTGAATGGAAGTCTGTGAGGAATATAAATCAACATCCACCTTTGTATTTAATTCATGGCCACTCAGGGAAGCACATTGTGAATAGGAAAGGCTAAGTGAAATGATTTACATCATGGTTATAACTACCATTTGTAGAGCACCTTCAATGTGGCAGGCGTTTCATATGCTTCATTTCTAGGCATTTCATATGCTTCATTTCTAGTCTTAATTGATCCTACGAAGTTGGCTTACAAATGAGATACCAGGCCCTGGCTGGTTTGGCTCAGCAGTTAAAGCGTCAACCTGTGGATCAATGAGTTGAGGGTTCGATTCTGATCAACAGCAGGTACCTCAGTTGCGGTTCATCCCTGGCCCTGGAGGCAACCAATCAATGTATCTCTCTCACATCCATGTTTCTCTCTCTCTCCCTCCCTCCCACTCCATCTAAAAATAAAAGGAAAAAATATTCTCAAGTGAGGATTAAAAACTGCACCTCAACAACAAATGAGACACCAGAAGCAGAGAAAGTTGAAGTCCCTTACCCTTGATCACCCAGTTAGTGAGTGTCAGAGCCAGGATTCAAATCCAGTGCTACCTGGCTCCAAAGTCAGGGCTCACTGACCAGAAACTATAAGTAAATCACACTCCTGGGTCCCCTTCATTCCCATCTGCTGTGGGGACCGAACAAGCCCGAGGAGAAGGATGAGTCCTGTTAACCACTTGCCGCTGCCACCAGCATGCTCAGGGGTAGGATGGAGCTTCCTAAGCCACGTGCCAGAAAACCTCCTCTGCAGGGGAGAAGGTCTAGGAAAAAGTCTTCCTCCTTGTCTAGGAGCAATCAGGCTGCAGAGATGCTACAACCTACCCCAAGGACAATGATTCTTAACTCTGCACATTAGAATCACTCGAAGAGCTTTGAAAAATACCAATTCCTAGTTCCCTGTGCAGAGATTCTGACTTGAGTGGACTACAGTGGGACCAAAGCACCAGAATTTTTTAACAGATGTCTAGATGGTTCTCATGAACACCCACTGGGAACCAATGCCCCAGAAGTGTGCAGGTGTGTATATATGTGCGCGCGTATACCAAAACACCTAATATCAGTTATTTTTCCTTTATTACATAGACCTGGCAAATTTTGAAGCACTGGAACCAAACGCTCGGTGGGAAAGAGAGAAAGGCCAGACTGCATTACCTGGGTCGTATCTTCCATGAGCCCACGAATCTTCTCGACGACATCGTTGCGCCGGTGCTGGCGCAGGGCGCTGATGAGCTGCGCGAGGCTGGCCTCCGAGCCGCGGATGGTCCAGTGCTGCAGGGCCGCGTAGGCGCGCTCGTGGTCCGCCGTGTACCCGTTGGAGAAAGCGGCCACCTCCCTCTCGCTGGCATTGCACAGGAACTGATAGATATCCTTCCACTGGCTTCCCACCTGCGCTGCCACAAGCTTCAGGATGTCAATGCCTATTGCAGAGACAAAACAATAATAAAAATGAAACCATCTGAGGGAAGGTCTTTATATCAGGCTGCTCTGTTCCGATGAACTGAAAGAAGCATGCTTATTCCCATTCGTCAAAGGAATGCATCGCCTCCTATAAGCACTGGGCACACAGCCCCATCCCAGGGACTACTTAGGTACCCTCCTGAAATTACAATTCTTGACCCTGACCAGGTAGCTCAGTTGGATACAGCGATGTCCCCACACTCCAAGGTTCCTGGTTGGTCAGGACACACCAGAAGCAACCAAATAATGTGGAATTAAGTGGAACAACAAATCGTTGTCTCTCTCTCCTCTCTCTCCCTGTAAAATCAATTTAAGAAAACAGAAATTTTTTTTTTAATGTTTTTTTTTTACCCTGGCCGGTTTGGCTCAGCAGTTAAGAGCACTGGCCGACCCAAAGATTACTGGTTAAGGGAATATACCTGGGTTGCAGGTTCAGCCACCGACCAGGGCCTGTGGGAAGGAGCCAACTGATGGGTCTTGCTCACATCAAGTTCTCAATCTCTCTCTCTCTCTCTCTCTCTCTCTCCCTCCCTCCCTTCTACTCTCTCTAACAATCAATGGAAAAAATATCCTCAGGTGAAAATTAACAATAGCAAAAAAAAAAAAAAAAAAAGTGAATAAAATAGTTTAATAGAAGAGGCACAATGCCTATTTAAAATGCACATCCAGTTAAAAAAAATTTTTTTTTTCAATTCCCTGAATGTGGCAACAGGAGGAACGATCCTGGGGGTATAATAAACTGCCTCTTGAAGATGTTTTATAAAAGCCAAACACAAAGTAATCAGAGTGATTCCTCTGTTACTAATAAAAACAACGAGAACCAAATAGATTAGAGGCTCCCAGACTAAAACAGTGGTCGCTTCAAGAAATCTAGAAAAAGATAGGCGCCAGATTAAAACTGCGGTCGAGTTTATCCCGCACTGTCTGGGTAAAGGGTGTTCAGATTCTGACACCCTTACCCCGCTGTTCCAGCCCAACTCGAGCATTTCTTAAGAATTTCTGACTTCTTGTACTCTAATTGATGCCCAAGAAGCAATTTTCTGATCTTTTATTCAGTCTCCTAAATTAGCTTGCAGTTATAATAAAGACAACAGCCAAAATGACACTATAACAATAGCTGTTACCTTGTAGGCATCCCATTAAGACATTATTAGCTCACTGAACATCTTTATAAAGCATTAACGTTCCCAGTGCACATATAAGTGGGGGGGGGGGGTGGAAAAACAGAAAAGTTATGCGGTTTGCCCAATATGACAAAGGTAGGTAGGTTGGGTACTAACCCCAATTTACTGGATGATGTTACATATTGTCATTCGAATTTATCAGTCGCTTAGAAACTCAGTGTGGGTCTGCAGTCCCCAAATTTGAAGAAGACAGGATGAGATGCCAAAATGAGATCTCGGAATGTGCAAACTCAGACTCCTGGCACCGACTCTTTCTCCGGGCAGCATGCTTTGGTGTCTTCCTCTTGGCGGAACCTTCTCTCTGCAGTTACGTAACAGCTTTGCCCAAATTTATACCCAGGGTGTGTATGTAACCTCACAGGAAGGGCCGTGGTAGTTTACCTAACAGGTGGGCGAGTTCTCTGGGTCAATGCCATGTCTTCCAATGAGGCCGTACTCACACCCTGACCCAAGGGTTATTCTAGCTAACAAAGCCTTCGAAACCTTCACTACACACTAAACACAGGCCGCGTTCCCAAGTGAAGCCTAGTGAAGAAAGGGAAAGAGAACACGGAGGAGCTTCCTGTTATGGTTAATTGACTTTCAATTAATTAGAGTTTAACCAAGGGGGAGGGGTCCTTTTTTGCTCCAAGCAGTTGTTGAGGGGAAATATGTATAAATGGGGCTATCCATTTTTGCCTAAGAAAATTGCAGTGCTAATCCAATCCCAGAAGTTTCTTTGAAAATGGAGGACTTCGCGGTCCCTCAGTATCACCCTCTGCCACGCAATCCTCCTGAGACAGATGACTTAGAAGCTGCATACACACCCAGCACCAACCTGGAAATGGTTTAAAAAAAAAAAAAACAAGTTCTTGGTAGAGGCCGCCCTCTTGTCAGCTGTAGAAGCAGAATGCCGCAAACTAAGACATTACTGTACTTCTCACGCTGTTTTCTTTGGCAGCAGAAAATATGCTTGAACCGGTTGCTCTGCAGTGCTCAGGGTGATGTTCAGCCAGACACAGAGCTTTCGATTTCAAGCGAGCAGACTCCTCCGAACGCCCCACAGGTAGCTGGGAGGCAGCTCTTTGTGGCCGATGGGGCAAATCTTGCCAAACACCAAAAGGCTTATTAGTCCCTGCATCTTAATTTAGGTCAGTTTGACTAATGTCCACATTATCTGACATGAAAACATGACTGTGTTTTCCGTGGGTGCATTGCTTCCATCTTCATAATGCCAATGACAGTGTGGCTTTGGGCAAACCACTAACTGTCATGTCCATTTCCTCATCTGTACAATGGAGATAGTCACTATGGTCCCTGGGGAGGAGCTGATTAACATTTTCTATAGAGTTGCTTTATTTTTGGAAGTACCCCATCATTATAAATGCTCCATATACTAGGCACTACAACAAGACTAAATGCATTTCTGATGCAAATACACAGCCTTTATAGAGTAATTACAGAGTTGAAAAGGCTTAAGTTTAATAACAGCTCCTTCTTCCCAAACCCAGTATTTAGACTTTTTTTTTTCCAGCCACAAAATCAAGGAAAAAAGAAAAACACAAAGGATAGATACGAGATGTTCCTTCAACGAAAACTGAAGCTAAATCGAAGGCCTATACATCAGGTTTTGTCTGATTCTTTCACTACGAAAACATGGAATCAACTCGTGTTAACCAGTCTGGGTCAGCGACATTCTACCCCGCTGCCCCTCCAACTGTGGGAGTTGATCAGTGGAAAGGGGGCGGAGACAAAGGCTCCCTCTGGAGATACCAGCCTTTTATCGGAGCACACAACCACAAAACCTCAGCAGGGGAAGGGAAACCAGTCAGTCTGCAGAGCCCTTGAGTTCCATGCACCTTGTATCCACCTTACCACCAAGGAGACAAAAAAACCTGCAGAATTTTTCAGGGGTGTTTATTGAGCAGCCACTGTGTGTGTTTGCTGGACAGACAGCCCTTAGGAACTTCCAAGACAGAAAGAGTTGGTCCCCAAGAAAATGTAGTGAAAATGTAATAACACCAATGAAAGACAGAATTTGAAGGGCTTTGAAAGTGTTAGGCAAAACTACATACAACTATAGAGAAAAGCAGTAGGATGATTAAACCAAATTGAGATACTTCCCTCTGGGGGAAGGGAGGAACTTCCCTTACCTGTTACTAGGTAGGAACTTCAAAGCTCTTCCCAAGGTTCTGTTTTCTAAGCTCGTGGGGTGAGAAAACGGGTTTTTTTGTCCTGTTATTTTATTTGATGTTTATTTTACTATTCTTTTAAAAACTGTGTATATAACACACATACTATTATGTGGGATATATGTAATTTTTGAAGTGTTTCGTTTTATTGATGAGGAATCTCATGTAGCGAGGTTCGGGTCCAGCCCCAGGTCACCCGGCTAGTTAGTGGTACTTCTACTGTGGTTAATGCAGTGTTGTAAAGGAGCATTATTCTTACTGGGATTATGTTCCTAGTGACTGGCATGTAATCCATGTCTGAATGCACTCAGGGTTGGCCATGTGCTTCTTCCCTACCTGTTATTACTGACCAGGCAGACGCTGGGCAAGTTTTCTCTGGGGCTAGCAACTGTATCTCTTTTCTTTAATACTATGGTACCCTAAAAACAAGAAGTCAGTAAAACTTTTTCTGGAAAGGGCAACAGTAAATATTTTAGGCTTTGAGAATCCTATGATCTCTGTCACAACTCAACTCAGTTGTGAATGAGAAAGCAGCCCTAGACAAGACAAATGAGGATAGCTGTGTTCTAATAAAATTTTATTTACAAAAAACTAGTAGGGGGCTGGAAATGGTGGGTGCTGTAGTTCACCAACCTCTGAAGCTATAGCAATTTAAAGAGACTTAGACTATCAAATGCTATAAAACATTCTGTTAGAAGAAAACATGCATGTGCGAGCCCACACATACATAAACACTCACACCAATGAAAGTTCCACCTAATTGTTAATCTCAATGTGAAATGATAGTAAATAAAATGGAGACCAACTCTCTGCTTGGTCAACTGCCCCATCAGAGTTCTAAAAGTTTTCATCTAGATGGGAGACAGTCCCTACGTATTGAATTGACCTGAACTGTTTAGCTGAATGTGATGCCTAGTCTCTCCTTTCTCTGGACCGCAGGCTGATGCTCTAACCGCTGAGCAAAACCGGACAGGGCGCCTAGTCTCTCCTTTCTTAGATTGAAAAGTAAGATGAGCCCTGGCCAGTTTTGCTCAGTGGTTAGAGCATCAGCCCGCGGCCGGAGAGTCCCGGGTTCAGTTCCCTTTAAGGGTATGTACCTCAGTTGCGGTTTGTCCCTGGCCCCAGCTGGGGTTGTGTGGGTGGCAGCCAGTCGATGTATCTCTCTCACATTGATGTTTCTCTCTCTCTCTCTCCTTCCCTCCTTTCCTCCCTCCCTCCCTCCGCTTTATCTGAAGATAAATGTAAAAATGTCCTCAAGTGAGGATAAAAAAGAAAAGCAATATGACCTCCAACCCACAGAAGTGCTGCGTGACTGAGGCATGGAGCTTAACTTTGCTTTTTCTATGATGTCAGGTCCTGGAGCGCTCGGAATGGCTGAAGTTGCCTACAAACCAGAGTCTGTACCTCGCCAGGAGTGGTGTGTGCTCAGGTGGCCCTGGCCCCAGGTAAATGGCTTGTGCATTTTAAGATGCAACCACAAACTTTGCAATCACCAAATATGGTTTCAAACTCTATGACCTCAGGCAAATGACAACCTCTAAGATGTCATGGTCTGAATCAGTAAAATGAAAATACCACCTCCTATCTCACAGGGTGGGTAAGGAT